TTACCCGGGCATGGATAAACTCCTCGACTCTGCCACCGGCGAACCGGCCAAGGAGCCGAGGGCCGTGGCCATGGCGAGCCACGAACTCGAAAGTCCGAATCTCATCGTCTCTGTCAAAGAAAAGCTCAACTCCGTCTCCATAGACACGAACAAGGAGTTTCCTACAATGGAGATTAGTTTCTTTTCTAGGCCAACTCACCATGAACACTTCGTTAGTCATGGCTCCTTTCATTGGTTTCACTTCAAGACTCCCTAGATCCTCAACTACGTCTCCCCATTTTGTTGAAAGTGTTTGTAGAATCTTCTTTAGCTCGTCTGGTGATGAACTTGGGATCAATCCAAAGAGTCCTATTGCCATCTTGAAATCATATAGCAAAGCAAAAAACAAAAACACAATCAAATTCTCAATCGGTTGAATGATCAAGAAGTCTAAGTTTCATTGCATGATCAAACTTAGGAAAAAGAAGAAACTTACCAAGAAAGTTGCAAGGAATCTTGAAATCAGAGAAAGTATTTTGAAACAAAAAATTGGGATATTTTTTTGGTTGTTGTTGGAGAGAAGTGTTGGTGTGAAGGAAAGACAAATTGCATGGTGAATGAGAGAGGTGTTGAAAGGAGGTATTTATGGACAATTTTTTGTTTTAACACTAGAAAGAGAACATCTATCTCTTTGTCTTGGTGAGTTGTATTTTTGGAAAATCAAGACAAAACTTTTTTTTTTTACCAAGACAAAACTTAAGAAATTTTTTTTTGTATATTTATAAAATTGCAAAATTTAAACAATTGCATGAAATTAATAAACAGGATATTATTAGCAAGTAACTGGGTTTTAATCCCGCGGATGGTTCCCTTGTGGTTTTTGATTTGAAGCCAAACGGCCTAAAATTACTATAGTCTTGAAATGTTATGTTATAACTTTTTTTTTGGCATTTTATATTATCATTATCGTTTTAAGACATTACTGGATAAGGTAAATAGAGATCTGTGACGTATAGTTAGAAGATATAGGTCAAGAAATGTATAAGGTGCATTATTTGTCGGCGAAGGTACAAATAACCACCGTTAATGGCATTTTCATCACATTATTACTAGGGACGAAATAAAATCTTATATTATATCATGTTACTATATTTAGACAGTGACATTTTCAAAGGTACTTCAATGAATTTTGAAGACTTTTGGAAGTTTAGGCAAAGGTTTT